CAATTTTCTTAGGTATTATGATCTACTGGTATTATGGTCGTGTAGGTAAATGTCCTTATTCTAGGAAAACACATGTATTTAGGGGTAAAGGGTTCTTCTGATGTCCCAACTTAACTTTCAAATGGTTCACCCAAAAAATGTTTTTTATATACACACACAATACACATGTATACACATCTATACATATGCGCATACATGTATGTATATATTTATATATACACGTATATGCACACATATATGTATATGCACACATATACACAGATAAAACAAACACATAAAGAAAACTAAAAAGGTTAACAACTGCTAAGTCTGGGTAAAGGTGCATGGATGGTTCAATTTTTCTATGGATTTGAAATTTTTCAAATCAAGAAGTTGGAGAAAAAGCATGTAAGGTTTTTAATAACTTTGTTCTATGAGTTAAAAAAGCAGTATTTCTAAAGTAACATGTTACTTAATATACTGTGACTTTAAATAGATTTAACTAGGTTAAGTTTGTATCTGTTTCATGTTCATGCCTATGAGTTTATATATTCAAATGAGGACACATTTAAAAATGGAAAATCAATAAACAGATAAGCACGATAAGTGGAGACACAGAGTCGAAAATCGTTGCTGTTGGGAAGCAAGAAATCCTTTGTGGGGAAAAGTGGGTGGAGGTATGAAACAGCACAGAGTAGAGAACAGCTGTTTTTCTGTGCAAGCTTGAAAACTATTGAATTTCTCAAATTATATGTATGTATAACTTCAATATTTTAAAGAATCCAATTAAAAGAACTGTTTTACTTTGCATTCTTGGTGTTTTAATGCTTTACTTAACATTAGAAGAAACAAAATGAGGCTGTTCAGCAGGGAACATTAAAAGCCCACTTTTTTATTTATATATATGTGTGTGTATTTTTTTTCTTCTTACTAGGCACAAATCTACTATTGGCAAGAATTTCCCTCCTTTTTTTTTCTCATGTAGTTATAGTCTGAGAGAGAAAAAAAATAAACCCCAAATTGCAAAATGTTATGCTCTATTTAGATATGGAAAAATAGAAAAAAAAATTAGTATTCTTAAAGATGGCACCTAATAACAGAAAAGCACATATTGCTAAAAAAAAGTATTCTACTAAATATTCAAAACTATCATTTTAGTGTTTGAAAAGGTGAAATTATGATATTATAGGGAACAAAGTGTTTTTTTTTTTTTTTTTTTTTGAGAAGAGTCTCACTGTGTTGCCTGGGCTAGAGTGCCGTGGCATCATCCTAGCTCACAGCAACCTCAAACTCCTGGGCTCAAGCGATCCTCCTGCCTCAGCCTCCCGAGTAGCTGGGACCACAGGCATGTGCCACCATGCCCGGCTAATTTTTTTCTATATATTTTTAGTTGTCCAATTAATTTCTTTCTAATTTTAGTAGAGACGGGGTCTCGCTCTTGCTCAGGCTGGTCTCGAACTCCTGAGCTCAAACAATCCGCCCGCCTCGGCCTCCCAGAGAGCTAGGATTACAGGCGTGAGCCACCACGCCCGGCCGGAACACAGTGTTTATGTGAAAGTATAATCAGTTCATAGTTGGCCGAAATGTGATTAATATTTAATGGGATACTATTAATACTATACTTAGCTTTAAAAGTGGCAAAAACCTAAATCTCCATCCAGAGGTTAGTAATAAATTTGTGTGTTCTCTTTCAAAAGACAGAAGAACCAGTAATTAATAAAGACAAGTGTTCGGATTTATTTGGAAATTCACAGTTTCTAATGGCACTACAGCTCTGTAGTTACACACTGAAAGTCCTCTTTCCACAACACACAGATCACGTAACTTCCCGCTCTACATCTGCTCTCATCTGGACCTCTTTTCAAGGGGCTTCTATACAATCAGGCCCTCTTGCTCTGAATGGCTAATTGTGCAGAATGGAAAAAAAGTTGAATCTTCTAAAACATACTGTTAACCTAAAGCAGCAACTTAAACAAACAAAAAAGGCTTTAAATAAGTCACATTACAAATAATACCCAAGAAAGGTATTAGACATGTTTAAAAAAGTTATTACTAAAAGTGCTCAATAAGTTATAACTTAAATCTCACAACACAAAATGGTCAATTCTCTCACTTTCAAAAAGAAACATGTTCCACTTTCACTCATTACTGTACAATCACACACTGAGAAATCATTTAATTCAAATACAGTCATTGCTAATTATTTTTTAAAGAAAAAAACACAAATGAAGACAGACACATTGACATCACGCATGTATACCTCTGCACATTTGTAGCCAATACAAAGCAAACATCAAGGAATAGTGATCTTTTAGACTTAACCAATTAGACAAGGCTTGACAAACTCACTAGCTGGATCTGTGTATAGGTACATAGGCAGTGATTACATCATATGAGACCTGGCTCATTTGCTAAATCTTCAAATTTTATATTTGTAGTAATAGAAAACTGTGATATGAAACTTTGGAAGATTAGTGTTTACTGTGAACTTTTAAAATGTAATGTAGCTAAAGAAAACCTTTACAAATGGTGAAATGTGTTTCAAAGGTGAATTTATCAAAAATTTGTTTGCAAATACCAGTTATTTGCAAAAAAAAAAAAAAACCTTATAGTTGGTCTTTTTTTCCCTCATTGAGTTAGTAACTAAGGAAAAAGTCTGAATAAGTTAGATGAAAATAAGATAAACAGCATCACCATTTACCTAAACCTAAAAGAACAGAATTTAAAAATCCAGCAAGTGTTTATTTCCAATGAGTTTGCTAAACAGAGATCTAGTTGGCAAGTCTTTAGGATTTTTACACTGTCTGACCCACATTGCCGAGCTTCAGGCACAGACCACCTTAAAAGCCTTGTAGTGTTTGCAGCTTCAAAAACCTAACAAAGTTATAAAAGAAATCAAATGACAGAAAAGGTTCTCCCTCCTCTTCCAGTGGCATTATAAATAGACAAAAGGCACATAAATATGGGAAGGTGCAAGAAATAGGAACAAAGCTAAAGGAAGAGGTTTAGGCTTTCATTCCTATCCCACCCAAGGAACTGGGCTTCCAAATTACTTTTGTCCCAGTGATTAATATGTGAAAAAACATCTTTATAAAATGTCTACCATTGTCCTTGTAGGAAGTGATCAGCCTTGTAAAACTGCAGCTCATTAATCAAGATTGACACAATCCCATCTACTTTTTAAAAAGGCAGAAACCATAATTTCTGAATACTTTTCCCATTTTCTCCCTCCCCAAACCCTTCAAATACCACAGACTGTTCTTCAAAGAACAAAAAAAGTCTCCAGTATGAAAAGTTCAATTAATTTTAGGTATGTCCCGAGACTGCTGTAACACCAAATGTTCCCACGGTGATCTCTTTGTTTCCTTTGATTATGTCATGAAGACTCGGCAATGATCCCGACTTAGTCTGTATTAGAGTTTTTATCAATTTTCCTTGGTCTTGGACTTTAGATCGCCTTCGTTTTAAGGCCCTCTTCTCAGTTTTTGTCTTTTGAGACTGTCCATTGCACAGACTTGTGCAAGCTGAAATGCCACAAAAATAGGACTCTTCTGACTGTGATGAAGTTTCTGAGCTTCCTTCAGATGGAGGACCCTTATAAGAAGAGTGATACACTTCCCCCATATTAGAAAAATCTCTCTGGTTCGTAAAGGGCTTCCTTCCTTTTATGTCTCCATTGGCTATAGGGTGCAATGGATCTGCAGACTTTATGGTCTCAATTTTTTCAATTTTGTACTTGCAGCGTTTCTTCTATAATACAAGTAAAACAAAGGTTAGGAAAGAGAACTCCCATAGTTACCTTACCAGACATCTAGATAGCTGAGCTAATGGAGAAAAGTGCCACCTCCTGGTGAAAAGTAAAACAGTATTACAAACAGCATACGTAGACACACACACAGTCACGTTCTGTACAGCTACTATCACCACTTTCCCATTTCATAAATACTATTCACTCAAAACTCTTTAAATTTCTTACCTGCTACCTGTGATTCAGGGAGTGCTAACTAACATCTGAATACCTACTATGTGCCAGATATTGTACAGGCTGCTTTCATGTATATCTTACTAACCCTGAAAGGTGGGTATTTTATCCTTGGTTCCTAAATGAGAAAACCAAGGTTCAGAGGTTTGGCTCCTTGCCCAAGTTACAAAGTGGTAAGTGGCTTGGTTGGAATTGAATCTTAGGCTATTTGACTATAAAGCCCAAGTTCTTTCCCCTAGAGATAATTCTTACTAATCAAAATCAGTATAACTTAATGTGAAAATTATTGAAATAGTGCATGCACTGTGCGCCTGGCATGTATTAGATACTCAATTAATAATGACTACCATCCAAAGATCAGCAAACTTTTTCTGTAAAAGACTGGATAGTAAATAGGCTTTGCAGTTCACATAGTGTCTCCCTTGCATATTCTTTGTTTTATTTTATATCCCTTTAAAAATGAGAAGACTTCTTGGCTCCTAGCTCATACAACAAAATAGGCCACAGGCCACATATGGCTTGTGGATCACAGTTTGCTGATCCCTATAAACATTTATTTACACCATTACCATGATTGAAAATAAACATAACTTACGGACTACTTAAAGGTTATGTTAAACCTTTCAACCTATTTCTTCACTTATTACCACATAACATACCAATTAACTTTAAACAAAATATTACCTTTTTTTCTGGAGAGAACTTAAGAGGTTCTACAATGTACAAATCATTTGGATCTACTGTAAGAAAAAAAAGCAGATGTAAAATGAAAAGTGGATTATGTTACAATTAAATACTAAATGAAAAAATCATCCCTTAGTGATTTTATTAATAGAACCAATTAATTTATATTTATACTGAGTTAATTATATATTTATGCATTTTAAATTAGTAAGCCAAAAGAGGCAAGGTGGGAAATGGTACCATTTTTATTTTAGATCTTCAAATAACTGAACTTCCTTGTTAAGTTCTTTTTTTTTTTTTATTTCAGCATATTATGGGGGTACAGATGTTTAGGTTACATATGGTGCCCTTTTCCCCCTCCCCCCATCTTGTTAAGTTCTTATACTTAACAAGAACAACTTAATGATACATAACTATACTTGCTTAAGTTTTTAACCAATATCTCATTATCAACCAACACAGTAAGGATTTTTCTCTGGGCCCTACTTTCTTACCTGATGAGAAAAATAACATTTCTGGATAAGCTAACACCAAACCTACAGATTATTTAAATATTTCCGAAAAGACTAAACTCTACATTGTGTTGAAAAAGTGGATTAACAATTTGCAACAAGCAGCTGTGATCACATAAGGAAGCCAGTTAAGGGAACACACATATAAAAAGAAATCCAAGAATTTTTTTTCTAATTGTTTATTACTATGATCAAAACTATAAACTCTAAAATCTAAAAATAGCTTGAAACATGCAATATATATAACCAAGCAATAATAAACAATCCCTTCTGGCATAGCAAGAAAATTAGATCTATTAGTTTTAGTTAAAAGGTTCTAAGATTTCATTACTTTAAGCACATTCAGGATACCCCTAACCGATCCCCACACTGCCAAGATAAGCATACATAAAATAGGGGCCATGAGACTTTAGTCCTATTCAACCCATTAAAAGTAAACAATTTAGGTAAGACAGAGACAGAAATTTATAAGTAGCAAATTTAGTATAAAACCTTCACTCACATATAGGCAATTTCTTAATTTAACACAATTCAACCAATTATAATTTTTTACATTATACCTTGGAGATTCTTCAGAAAGTCTTCAAATATATGAAAACATCAAAACATTCCTCTAAACAGTCATTTCTATCAGATTACTAATCTTAAATTGCTTTTTAAAAAAATCATGATGTCTACTTCTAGGAATGGTTATGTTACTCAGATCAACCTCTCCACTAAAAGCAACTATGATGGGTTTTAAAAAAAAATCACCAAAAGCATTTAAGAGCTGCCAAGAAAGTAAATAATCCCTAGGTCAAAACTGAAAGACAAGTAGGAATTCAGACAGTCAAGTGGAACACAGAAGTCATTTTGGTTCTGAGAGCATTTACCAATGCAAGAATATATGAACTCTGGTTCTGACAGTGTCAGAGGGGAATGGATCAGAAATCAGATTCCAGGGCCCATCCAAAGTAGTAGTCTGATAAGATACCCTCTCTCCCTCTACACAGGAAGCTGAGCCTCCCAAGGACTATATCCTCAGGGAAAGAATGAAACCATTCATGGACTTGCAGGCCAAACTCCTATCATCTGGTGGTACAATAAACCTCAAGCCATGAATGCCAAATGTTATATGAATGTAAAGTGAATACAAATTCCCTCTGGAATAAGAACCTATAGCCCTCAAATTATCCCTACAAATAATTTCTCGAAGAGAAGGAGTAGCACATACAGACAAAACACATCTTGAGCAAGAGCCTACCTACAAAGACAATTAATGAACAGATTCACAAAAAAATAAGATGTTAAAACTATCAAACACAAATTATAAAGACAATTACGCTTACTATGTTTAAATAAGAAACAAGCTTGAAAATATCTACAGGAAATCTAAAATAAGAAAAAAAGACCTGTATGTTTAAAAAAACTATAAACATAACTCCTAGAAATGAAAAAAAAAATAACTGAAATTAAAAATTCAATGAATTAATTTAATAACAGACTAGACACAACTGACTGCTGGCCTGGAAGACAGATCAGAAGAAATCATTCAAAATACAGCAATAGCCAGGTGTGGTGGCACACATCTGTCATCCTAGCACTTTGGGAGGCAAAGGGGGAGGATCGCTTGAGGCCAACCTGAGCAACACCATGATACTCCATCTCTACAAAAAATAGAAAATTTAGCCAGGTGTGGTGGCATGCTCCTGTAGTCCCAGGTACTCATGAGGCTGAGGCAAGAGGATCACCTGAGCCCAGGAGTTGGAAGCTGCAGAGAGCTATGATGATGCCACTGCACTCTAGCCTGGGCAACAAAGCGAGACTGTCTCAAAAAACAAAACAAAAAAAACAAAAAAAACCCAAAAATAAAAACACAGCAAAAAAAGGCAAAAAGATGGAAAGTGGATAAGACAAAAAGGGTATATAGGGAGAAGGACTAACATGTTTAATAAAATTCAAGAATCTAAAAGAGAATGGGGCAGAGGTAATATCTGGAGGGGAAAAATGATGGCTGAGAATTTCCCAATACTGACAAAAGATACCTACCAATCTAGAGATTCAAAGGGCCCAAGAAATCTCAAACAGGATTAAAGAAAGAAAAAAAAAAAAAAGGAATATTTCAAGTTTAAGGGAACTAATGACAAATTAAAGATCTGACGAATAAAGAAATTAGTAGATGTGTGGGTAAATTTACACAAACATTAAGTGTAAAAAGTAATAATAATACCTTATTGAGTTAAAATTAAGCAAAAAAGAAGCAGAACTAATAACAAGAATAATAATACATAAATCATGTTGAGGATAAGTAAGAGATCTTTAAGATCTTTGTATTGTATAGGAGGAGGTAAAAGTATTATTTAACTTTAGACTTTGATAAATATGTATAGTTTCCAGGGTAACCAGTAAAAGAACAAAAACAGCATGTAACTTCCAACCTACTGACAATAAAAGGGAAATAAATACTTCTTCCCCAACAAAAAATCTTAATGAAGGGGAAAAAAAGAACAGACAACAGGCAAAAGATAACACCTTTGCACTAATAAATTTTAACATTCAGATGAAATGAACGAGTTCCTGAAATTTGTAATTTAAAGTGACAAAACCCAATTCCTAGAACCTGAGTTAAAGGTCCAAAATTCCTTTTACAAAAATTCCAGACCTATATATCTTTACTGATTCAAAAAAGAAATAAGCTCCTCCTGAGAACAGGGAGAAAAAGGGACAGCATTGCCTATCTAACTTTTATAAGCCTTTTATATCAAAACTGAACATGAGAAATAAAACATTTCATGCCAATCTTATTCATGAATAATAGACGCAAAATTCTTAAACAATTATCAAACATAATTACGTAAACATATATAGTACAAAATTCATACACATATATATCATGACCAACTGATATTTAAGAATGCAATAAAAGTTTAACATTAGAAAACAAATTAATGTAATTCATTTCCATAACCTAACAAAAAATGATCACCTCCAAAGATGCTAAAAAAAAGTATACGGCAAAATTAAACAGATTCATGGGGAAGGGGAACTATTAGCAAGCTAGGAATAGAGGGGAACTTCCTCAGATAAAGGGTTATCTACAAAACATCTATGGCAAATATAATACTTAACAGTAAAACACTGAAAGCTTTCCCTTTGGGAACAAGACAAAGATGCTTGTCAACCACTTCTACTTACCACTGCTGAAAATGCTACCATCGCAGTTAGGAAAGCAAAGAAAATAAAGCTATAAGGATTGGCAAAGAAGAAACAAAACTGTCTTTATTCTCAGAAGATGTACCTGAATTGACAGAAAATCCAAAATAACCTACAAATGAACTACTCCAGTAAAACATTGTTTATATTAAATGTAAAAATCAATATAAAAATCTAGGGACTTCTGCTTTCTGGTCCAGCACATAGGATGCATAGAGGATGCCACTTTGTCCTAACAAGTAAAAAGCTGAACAAACTGAAAAACCAACTCTTCTTAGATCTATCAGAGATGTGAGGTCACAGGGCAAACTATTATCCACAGACAGGTGGATACAGAGAATCACAACCTACTGGAGCAGAAATCCAGAAGCAGACACCTCTGAGGGAACCAGCACCTTGGTATGGAAACCTAAATTGTCACTGATGAATTGCTGGAGGCTCAGTGTGAACAAGACTGTGAGTTAAATGCTCCAGGGGGACTGAGTCATGGCCAGGTGGGTGGCCTCACACTTTCATGAATTTTATTTCCAGGAGCACAATCGTCCTTACCATTTTGAAATATACCAGAGTATTCTGTTCTTCTTAACAAGGCCTGACCTCAGGAAAAATTATTTTACCAGAGCCTAATATCCTAGAGTTTTAACAGAGCCTAACCTACCTGGGGAAAGAGAAATACTAGCGAGCTTGTCCCACCTAGATGGGGTTGGGGGAGGACTGAGAAGCACTGGCAAAGGTCACAGTCCAGGGCACAGGCTCACCAGAAGACTAAGACCTAATCACAGGCCTACAGAATGCTTCCCCTGACCCCACCCCTGACCACCACATATTACTAAAGGCCTATTTACCCTTCCAACAAAAAATTGTAAGGAATACTTAAAGGGAAAAAACACAGTTTGAAAAGACTAAACAAGCATCAGAACCAGAGACAGCAATGGTAGAAATGTTGGTATCATCAGACCAAGAATTTTTTTTTAAATTATGATTAATATTATAGGGAGAAATAACCTTGATTTTTTTCTGTCAAAGTATCAGAAAGTAACACACTTCTATACATCTTATTGTGCCTGACTAGTCCACCGACTCTAAACATTTACTACACTAAGAGCCCCCTACCTCCTCTTCCTTTGTGTCTTAATAACATACCTTAGCCAGCCGGATAAGAACAAAATTATGCAGTCAAAATCCCGGCCAATGAAATGAGACACAGCCGTAGGTCTGCGTTAGAGATAAAAGGTAAAAAAAAAACAAAAACCTATAGCGCACACTGGCTGGTTACTCTGACTGCCACTAGGCGCCCTTCTCATCAAAAATAAAGGTTTTGCCTTGCTGAGACAATTTATAGTGTCTATTTT